TTCCCTCCAAATTAAACCTTTGTATATTAGACAACAATTCTTAACATGGGGGCCCATGGACAGGCTTCTGTGTGTCACTCCCGGTGTGTGTTTTCTGCAAAATTGTGTGTGTGTGTGTGTGTGTGTAATTACAGGTATGACTTTTTTTTAGAGCAGTTTTAGATTTACAGCAACATTGAGTGCAAAGTATTCCAGTGTTTGTTTCCTGCAGAATTGTGTGTGTGTGTGTAACTATAGGTATGACTATTTTTTTTTAGAGCAGTTTTAGATTTACAGCAACGTTCAGTGCAAAGTATTTAGAGATCCCCAGGCCACCAATCAGTGTTTCTGTCTCTCCCTCCCCATTCCTCTCTCAGAAATGTTTTTGGCAGCTTTATGGTAAATAATCAAATATTAGCAATAAAAGTGACAAAGTGAGTACTTGTCGATACAGATCTCCAGACCACCAATCAATGTTTCTGTCTCTCCCTCCCCATTCCTCTCAGAAATGTTTGTAGCAGCTTTATGGTAAATAATCAAATATTAGAAATAAAAGTGACAAAGTGAGTACTTGTCGATACCAGGATTCCGGGGTTCGCTTTTGGAGCATTTTCTCTCTTGATTCTCACAACAACCTTGTAAGTGGAAACTAATATCGAGTTGCTGGGAAATCCAAGGATTAGAGAAATGAAGTAGGTTCTCCAAAGTTTATTCCACAGACAAGTGTCAGAAGTAGAGGCTGGATTCCAACCTGGGATTCTGGCTCCAGAACCAGGGACAAGTTCTACCATGGGGGCAGGTACACTGTTAGGACTAGGGAGGCTCAACTGAAGCTGCTGTTGCCATTGTTGCAGTTAGGATTATTCTTCTAAAATGTCAGAGCACCTCAGTCTTTCAATGGACAGCATCATCTCTCAGCTCCAGTGGTTTCTCCAGCGGAACCTTCTTTCAGAGTGAGCTGCAGTTTGCCTCTCCTTTGATCCCAGCACAGAGTTTAACCCACAGGAGACCTCGGTAATTTGAGTTGTATC